CGAATGACGATGCGCCCGGCGTGAACCGCTGTAGAAAGGTTGCAGGCTGCTCTGCTGGACTTAAGGCGCGTCAGGTGATAAGGCGAGGTAAGGTACCTGAATTCACGCATGACTTTGCAGGGGTTCATACGTACCTCAGAGTGGGTCCCTAACATTCACCCACCCCACCCTCACACGTGCCTCCAGCCCATGGAGGGGCGCATCCCTGACCTTCACCCATTCCATCTAGCAAAAGTTTCCAGGAAGTTCACCACCAATTGCTATCCGGAAAAAAATTGGCGCAATGGCGTATCCTAATTCGTGCGGAATTCAATTGAAATTGGAAGCCACTGCAGCAGCCAACAGCAGGTCATACTCGCCCAACGAGCTAAACTTTTCGGCGCGAGATTCCCCCACGTTTCACTTTGACCGATGATGGAACTGGGATCCTGTTACTCCTGCTTGGCGTGAAGATTTACTTCGCGAACCTGGCCTCGAGATTCAATAGTCCATGTGAGACGACATCAATCTCATATCGCCGCGAAGAATTAACTCTTTCCCTCGCTTATCTCCACTGCCTGCTTCCGAGTTCTGGGCCTCCAAACTGAACCTCATTTTCAGCAAGATTGCCTCGGCCAACGCCCTTCATTATAATAATGGTATGAATGTGAGTGTTGTTGCCTCCGCGACGGAGTTTATCTTCTTTTTCTTCTGGTGGTGGACTGGGTTACTGCCTCGGTACCTGAGGTATGTATGAGAGTATATTCACTTGCCAAACACTTGAAGAAGAAATCCGAAGTATGGGTTGAACCAGACACCAGACCGGTTCAGTACGCAGATAGACCCAGACACCTTCGATCAGCTCTCACTTCTTACTAACCCCAATCCTATCAGAGAACTTGTTATCAAACATCCCCGTCGTGTTCAGCGCCGCGTGTACCTCCTGCCACCTATCAAGCCTAGACCCATACCACTTCCTCACATCGCCTGTCGTCGTCCCATCAAGCGGGTCGAGCCCCCAGTGGATCCGAACAGATCGATCACCCGTCAGCTCACTCTGGTCGCAGATGCGCTTCTTGACCGCGTCCAGCAGCTGGCCGGCGCTCTTGGTCCCAAACAGCATGTCTAGCTCGGCCGTGCACGTCAGCCTGCCTGACTCGGGGGCAATCAGGGCGTCCGACGACCGGATGAAGCGGACCCCGATGGGGCCCGGCAGGTACCACAGATGGTCCTTGGCGAAGTCGGCCAGCGCGGCGAGGATGGCGTCGATGGTGGCCACCGTGTCGCGTGCGTCAAAGTGCAGCTCCAGCGCGAGCGCCTTCATCCGGTTCTCCACCCCCAGCGTGAAGACCTTGGGCGAGTTGTCGACGTACGGCGGGTCCTGGTCGACCAGCGCCCCGAGCGCTTGCTGGATCGCCTCGGGGCTGAGCGCCGGCCATCTGTTGAGGACCCAGACCAGGATCGGCGCGGACGCGACCGCGAAGTACTTGAGCAGAGACTCCAGCCAGCTTGCGCGAGCGCCGCGGGGCTTGGTGCGCTTGATCCGCTGCCGCGCGACTTGGATTGCCGTGTGTGTGGTTGGTCCGAGGGGGATTACGTATGGGTTGATCAGGAACTCGAAGTGGTCGTTGTTTGCCAGGGGCTCGGGAAGGGGTTTGAAGTTCTCCGGCGCAAACAATGGCTTGAGGGCTTCCCACGTCGTCAAGGTGCGGTTCTCGGAGAGGCTAAAGGCCTCTTGCACGCGGAGGGTCACGCTGTAGATGACGCCCATGCATCCCATAGAGACTTTGACCGCGTTGAACCAGTCGTCGTCCTGCTTGAGCTCTACCGCGACGTCGAGCGCCTCAGGCACATGGCCGGGGAACTTGGCTGGGTCGGTGACGCTGTCGGTGCTGGGCTCGAGCTGGTAGACCTTGCCGGTTTCGGTGACGAGCACGATGGACACGACGGAGCTGGCGATGGGCCCGAAGCGCGCGCCGGAGCCATGAGTGCCGGTGGAGAAGGCGCCCGCGATGGTTTGTCCGTCGTAAGAGCCCATGTTGGTGAGAGCGAGCTTGTTGTTCTCAAGCCGAGTGTTGAGATCCACGATTGTGATGCCGCTCTGGGACCGGAAGAGATTCTTCGCGTCGGCGTCGGGCTTGAAGCTCTCTGCGCCGGACGGGATGCTGCGCTTTGGGTCGCTGCCCTGCGCCTTGCCAAGGCTTTTGGGATCGATGAGGAACGCGTCGTCGGTCCTCGTGACGTCGGAAAAGGCATGGCCGGAGCCCACGGCGCGCACGCGTTTGCCTTTGCCCCGAGCTTCTTTGACGGCGGCGACGAGAGACTGGAGGGTGTCTGGGTATCGCCACTGGGCGGGTGTGCATGTCTGCTGCCCGATGGCATTGCTCCACGTCTTGGCATGGCCTGGCCATGTCAGTGAGAGGGCGCTGGGCTCGGCTTGCTCGACGAAGCCAAGGTTGTCCTGGGAGAGCACGCTGCGAACGGCATTCATGAAGCCCTTGGGATCGTTGTTGTAGGCGTCAGCCAGCAGCCGCTGAGTTGATTCATCATCTTGGGGATGATGGAGCGAGTTTTCGAGGATCTGCTCGATATTTGCTGGGGGAATGGCCATGGTGGTGGCACTAGATACACTTGGGAGTTGCCTGACAGCCCCTGAGTCAATGTTTAGAAGCTAGTAGAACAAGGGGGTAACTGTGTCTTTGATCGTGCGGTGGATGACGGCTGACAGATTTACAATTCGGGGCAGACACAGGCGAGAATTACCAGTACCTAGCAGCACTGGCTCCGTCCGAATATTTATATGCATACAGCACCGATGGGGATCATGAAATACCACGTTTCTTCCTTCGCCCAAGACACTCACAGACTGGCACATGCAGGTTTCACTGCAGAATCTAGAAGCAAGACTGCAACGCTATCTGCAGAAACGGTGCCCCATGGCTAGGAATGAATACACGTTATACGCTCGTTGACGAGATTCAGCTCTCCTTTTGCAGAGGGGGCTTGCCTTTCGGCCCTTCGAGGACTGCGTGGGCTTCTGACCGACATCTACAGCCATTCGGATGCTTAAGACAGCGTGTGTGATGAGACTTTGCCATTGGTGCATCATGTCCGGTCGACTGCCTTAGTCTCGCATTCAGCCCTCCCCTCTTTCACTCAGCTCGGTTTCTAGACTCGGCTTGCCTCCAAACGGCTTATACGACCCCGCAAATGGATGCACATCGAGCAAAGGGGAATGGTCAAGTCCAATAGGTATCAAAGATGGCTACGCTGAATTCGATAGCGGGTGGATGCGGGGAGACATGATGTCTACCACATTCTAACGGTTCCTACATATACACTATTACCACTGGAATCCGACTTATGGTATTGCGATGATGACCAAAGTTGATAGTTGATAATGACATGTTCGTGGGATTTCCAGAGGTGGTGACCGAAACGAAAACGAACAAAGGCTGTTCAAGCGCGTCAGGAAAAGAAATATAGAAACTGCTTGACTATACCAAGTTCTTCCTAAATAGAATATCAAGTCCACATCTAGTAGATAACTAGGTAGGTAGTCCCTCTCCATATCCATACCTATCTTTTAGGTCAGGCCCTAGCCGAACAATCAGACCGCTATTAAAGTGGGTCTCCATCGCTAGTATCCACATCTATCCTTTCCCCAATCGTCCTAAGACCAATGGAACTGGAAGTACAACCACATCAGTTCCCCGCTACCAGGTCAAACTTGAAGTTAATGTCAAGCAGCAAACGTCAAAGCAACGTCCCTCGAAATCTTTGTTTCTTATGGATTGATATTCCGATGGGCGCCAGGTAAAGCCACGATTCAAATCGTTCACTTGAAGTTGCGCTTCTGTGGTATCGAGACCAGCGAGTCGGCTCTATGCCGTTCGTGTTCATGACGCCCCGGGCGTAAAAACCAGGCCGAGTTCGGCGCCAAGTGCGGTGACACTTGCCCTAAGTGGTCGGATGCATGAGCTTTCCCTGACCAAACTTGAACGAGAACTGATCATCGGGGCGTGTCGACAAAGCTTAGATGTGGAAGGCACGTACCCACACTTTCCTTAGTCACACTGCATGACAGGTCAGGCAGGTACCTATGCCTTCCAGATTCTGGGCTCAGGTACCTGATCTAGCCGTGACTGCTCCCACGTTCCTACCAATTTTCGCAGGCATGGCAACACGTCAGGAAGCATAGGTACCTGCACTTGCTTTTTCCGTCAGTATAAACGAAGCGGGGAAATCCCAGTTTAATTGAAACCACTTCCCATCTTCGAGCTCTGCTCCTTTTTGCCTTCGTTCACCACCTGAGTTGTGGAGGAGAAGACGGCTTGTACCACCAACGAATGTCGATTAGCTTAGTCCTTTGGCCATTTTCTCACGAAAACCCACCTGCCGGTCGGGCCGTGTTCCACACCTTTACGCTGCCTCGAGGTCTGCCAGGCGAGTTCCTGACCAACAATTGGGCGACGCAAACAAGCATGGCCCTCCATAACAAAAATCATCGGCCCACTCTCCCACCTCAATCACGATTGAGACGGCTCCCGCGATTGTTTACTGTGCCTTTGCTTCGGATTCAAATACATCTTGTTGTCAAGGAAGTTCACCGATGCCAATTCTCGTCGAGCATATTAACAGCCCTGGCCTCTTCCAGTTCATATTCTGATTGTCCAATTTGATATTGATTGGCCAATGTTGCTGACTCCAAGTTTCAACCCAGTCAAACGAGCGTCAGTCCGTGACGCCGACACTCCTCCATTGAAGCTGTCATGACATTGTTTCCGGAGGATTATCTCAGGCAAATTTCCTACCGCAATACAATTGAAACAATGAGGCTACAATCCGCTCTTGGGAGTTCTGGAGTCGAAAGTCCATGCCAAGCCATCACCCCCTGTCGAGGCTCAAGAAGCCCACCAGAGACTGAGTTGTGGACCCGCAAGCGCACACATTTCCACCCAAACACGACTCGACACCAGCATAAAGGATAGGATAGGACGTTGAGTTCAGTATCGAATACCGCGTCAGTGGTTTAGTGGTAAAATCCATCGTTGCCAACAAGTATCGATGGGCCCCGTGTTCGATTCACGGCTGACGCAACTTGTATCTTTCCTCTCCTTTCCATAAGGCGATTAAACTTTTTGTTCCAATTCCCTAACCAAGGTACCCAGGAAAGCCAATGCTCTTCTAGTAACTTTGCGCCGCCGACAGGGCTAGTCTGCAACTGCCTTATTACCTACGCTGTGGTATTCCGGCGGATAATTAGCGATCATCCGGTGCATAAGGAAAGGTCCGTGGACGACCTACCGATGCGGCCATCAACAAACGCGACTGGCGACCCAAAGTCTCCGAGTTTTGAGAGTGTTTGGGGAAACAGTAGCCGAAAATCCCCCTGACTTTCGGAGAGTAGCATCGACTCCACGTCAAAAGAGTCGCCTTCTCTTTTGCGGTTGACCGCATGCTAATACCATGATGCCACCTGGGGTGAGGCCTAAAGTGCCAACAAGCAGTGTCGACTATTAACTCGGGGTAAATGTGTATGCATGCGTCGTAGGTCAGCAGGGTGCGATTGATTAAGTGCTGTATACAGCTTCAAGGGCTTCGGGCTTTTTCCTTCCACAAGATTATGCAAAAGAACGTCGGCGCCTCCGCAATGTTACCTCCGCTAACGGTGCCATGTGCGCACGAAGTAAACATCGAACACCCAACCCATGTCTCTCCGCATGTGCGCATGGATGCGGCGTGATTCATACGCGACAGTTCCCACCCGCGGCCATGGGCCTGCAAAACACGCCCAATGCAACCCGGGAACGATTGGCGGACGACGAACCACGGCACATGTTGCGGCCACTATGTGAGAGCCGCATATATGGCCTCTTTATTTGCCCACCACATGTCTAATCAAGAAAGCGGAAGACAGGTTTCCCCACCGAGTGGTGTGAACATTTCAACGTACACAAACAAGCACGCACCGGGCCCCGGAACCGAGTTCAAAGACGGATGTGCGGGACGGCCGGCAAAATGCCGTTATGCCTGACCGTGTGCATGCCTGATCGGGGGCCCAGACGCCTTCGTAGAGTAGATGTGCTCTATCACACGGCCGATGAAACGGGTAGATCGCGATGCGGGACCAAAAGCCCGGCCCTCGCGTCCCTCCATCCGTTTGGAAGAATAGGCGATCTTCACCCCGCCGAGCCCCTGACCCCGTTACCCCAGCTCTATCTATCTTAAAGAGACGGGGCCTGCCATGCAACCATCACCATCACCTTGGCGCACCGAACAACAAGAAACCACGCCCTCGTGAATGGACCGCGTTCAGGGGCCGAAGCCGAGCCTGCACAATTACCTGGCAATTAGCATACGCGACATCAACAAAGGCAGTCATCGGTACTGGTATATCATGTCCCAGCCATTCTCTGTTGACAGAGGAAAAAACGAGTCTGGAGCATCCCGCCGCAGCTGAGGTATTTGCACATGACATAGTCTAACCCGGTTGAGAACAATGTCGACTCTAGAGAGACCCGCCCTGGTCGCGAACCCGGCAGAGTCATACCAGGTCAACATCATTGCCTGCGCCGCCATCACATGGGCTATCGGAGCGACGTTTGTTGGCTTGCGATTCTACACACGGGGGCACCTCTTGCACAATGTTCTCGGCGCTGAAGACTGGTTCATCCTTGTTGCGCTAGGGTTTTCTGGCGCAACATCTGCTGGCTTGATCGAGCGTAAGAGCCTCTATCACCTTTCCAAGTCAATGTAGAAAGCAGTCCTGACGTTGATTTCCAGAGGCGATATACGGTCTAGGAAAACATTTCCTCGACATTGATCTCACAGTCATGCTGCCTATGGGGAGGGTAAGTGCCAGGACTTGATTCTCTTAGTTCCCTTGACGGAGATTACTAACACATCTGTCAGGCTGGGTGGTATACCATCCTCTGGTACATGATGGCCCTCCTCTTCACCAAGATCTCCATCCTGCTGCTATACATCCGCATCCTCAGCTACCAGCACGCTCGCTACGCCGCTTATGCCATCATGGTCATCGTGATTCTCACCAACGGGCTGTGGACCTTCGTCACCGTCATGACGGCCTGCATGCCGCTTCAAGCGTTCTGGGACTTCACCACCCCGAACGCCTGGTGCCGGCCCGTGAGCTACTGGTACGCCAACACCGGTCTTCATATCGCGACGGATATCCTTCTTTACGTCTTGCCGCTTCCGGTCATTATCAATCTGCAGATCAAGGCGCGGCAGAAGATATTTCTCTACTCCATATTCGCCCTGGGGTTTGTGTGAGTTTATCCCGCTTTACCACCTCGGCTCCCCTTTGAAAAACCAGTGCAATAGCTGACCGACCACCGCCATCCCCAGCGTCTGTTCGATCTCGGTCGTCCGCCTCTGGGATCTCGTTGCCGAGAACCAGCGCACCGACTTCACCTTCGACAACGTCAGCATCGCGTACCTGACGTGCATCGAAGTCAACGCAGCCATCGCCTGCGCGTGCTGCATGACGCTGAAGCCGCTCCTGCTCAAGCTGTTCCCGCGCCTCTGGGGCTCGCGGTCGTCGAAGCCAGCTCGAGACGTGGAGGCGCTGGCGGCAGCCGGCCGACGGCCGCCGACGATTGGATCCGAGCCGTCGAGACCGGTCCAGAAGAAACGCGGCTCGTGGGCTGTCGCGCAGCGGCGCACCGGGAGCGATAGTAACATGCAGCTGCTCGAGGACGGCGATCTCTTTACGATTGTGGATGAGAAAGACAGGCTTGATTATGGCCTGGAGTCCCCGATATCAATAGCAGCGGTAAATGTCAAGAGTATGCCGACGGAGCCACGGGCTGCTCATATTGAGAACAGATCTCGCGTGGAGTCAAGGGATGGTAGTCTCGATTCTAGCATCATGGACGAGAAATCAGGCTCGATATACCACCGTGACTGAGAAGATGGCCTCACGATAATAGCGACTGGATATGGGCACGGATCTGGAAGGGGGTTTGGGGGACGGGGTATGGATATAAAGTTGCTCACAATCACTTGGGTTTAGCAAGTGGGATGCCATGGGGAGCACATGCATTTTGACACAGCTGGGTGGGTTACGCGGCGTTGGTAGGAATGTGTTTTGGTGCTTGGTAGAGCTGGCTGTGTTCAAGTACAAAGGGAATAGAGACAGCCAAGTGAATAGTATTATGATGAATATCAAAGTTGGAATATTAACTATGAGCACGGTGTTGCCAATTCTCAAGCTGGTGATGCTAGATCCAACAAATGTGAGACTTGAGAGGTCTCCAGAACCTTCCGATGAATGCAACTAGCTGAAAACCGAGCATCTGCTACAAAGACCAGGTATGGGCTGAATAGACAATCTACTCCTTGGGCCAAACACGTAAAGAATTTGTCGAAAGGTACTCGGTTTTGTGGCGCATCAAGAGTTGACAGTTTCAAAATCCTCATAAATATAGAAAATGAACCCGGGACTCGTATAGTGAAGACCCATGGTGAAAATGGCCGAGAGGCTCTCAGATTGAATTGATCGGCTATCATTTCACGGCTCGAGATGTATACGGAGGCCGAATCGTCATAAGAGAATTATCGCTCAACATCCCCGATTATCGCCTCGCCTAGCCAACCCTGCGGCCCTTCTTATCTGCAGTCTGGTCTATCAGACCGTAATAGCTTTGGTTTTGCAATCTTACACGGCTTGCCTGTTTGGTACGTTAGCATTGTCGAGTGCCCGCCAGTGAAAGAAAAAGGGATACTGTACCCTTAATAGAGCTTGCCCCCTTTCCTCCCACGACCCTTCGATCGAAGAGATCCCTCTCACCAGACGACCTTGCTCGTCTGGCGGTTTTATGGTTGAGTTTTTGCCAGAATCATTGCCAGACTAGATTACCTTAAGCAATGAGGTCTGCAACGTTCATGGGCATCTCATCGATCTGCGTCGAATAGTACACTGCGGATGATTAGCCGGGCTCGTGTTTCCCAGGACATTTGGAAAGTCAACCTACATTCGATATCACGCAGAATGCGCACGTCCTCGCTAGTAACGAAGTTGATTGCCACACCCTTGCGGCCGAATCGTCCGGATCGACCGATGCGGTGGATGTAGTTCTCACGGTTGCTGGGCAGATCGTAGTTGATCACCAAGCTGACCTGCTGCACGTCAATGCCGCGGGCCCACACGTCGGTCGAGATCAGGACTCTGCTGTTGCCCTGCCTGAAGTCCTGCATGATGCTGTCTCGCTCCTTCTGCGGCATGTCGCCGTGCATGCTGCTGACGGTGAAGTTTGCCTCGCGCATCTTGTCCGTCAGCCAGTCGACCTTGCGCCGCGTGTTGCAGAAAATGACGGCCTGGGTGATGGTGAGGGTGTCGTAGAGGTCGCAGAGCGTGTCGAACTTCCAGTCCTCCTTCTCTACTGCGATAAAGTATTGCTTGAGGCCTTCCAGCGTCAGCTCGTCACGCTTGACAAGAATGCGGACAGGGTCGGTCATGAACTTGGTGGTCATGTCGAGGACATCGTAAGGGAGGGTGGCGGAGACAACGACGACTTGGGTCGCGGGCGGAAGGTAGCGGTACACGTCGTAGATCTGCTCGCGGAAGCCCTGGTTGAGCAGCTCATCCGCCTCGTCGAGCACGAGCATCTTGATGTGCCGGGTACGCAAGTGGCGGCGACGGATCATGTCGGCAACCCGGCCAGGGGTGCCCGAGACGATGTGCTGGCCGTAGTCGAGCTTGCGGATGTCTTCGCCCACGTTGGTGCCGCCGATGCAGGCGTGGCACTGCACGTTCATGTAGTCGCCCAGGGCCATGACAACGCTCTGGATCTGCGTAGCCAATTCGCGCGTCGGGGAGAGGACGAGGGCCTGTGTCTCGCGCACGGCCGTGTCGATGACCTGGAGCATGCTGATGGAAAAAGTGGCCGTTTTACCGGTACCGGATTGTGCCTGGGCGATGGTGTCGCGGCCTCTGCAGATCTGGACGATGGCGCGGGACTGGACGGCGGAGGGCGACTCGTATCCGTAGGCGTAGACACCGCGGAGCAGGCTCTCCTTGAGGGACATGGACTCGAAAGTCGGGTGGACCGTCACCTCTTTCGAGGTTGAGAAC